CCACAATTGAACAATGGTAAAAATAACATTAAATTGTTCCAAGTAATGAATATTCAGACACTTTTAAATTACACCATTTAAATCTCCACTACATTTACAAAAATCGATCCCCTTTTATTGACGAATTTCATCCTTCCAGACAGAATAGAAACAAAAACAAGAAGAGCAAGAACATATTCATGATCTTCATCTAATACAATCTTGAAAGCATTAAAAAATTAAAAAACTCATGAATGTACTGACTATCAATAGAAAATGGATTACAATCAATAGAACTATGCTTACAATTTTGGATGAACACGCTCCGAACGAAGCAGATGTACTTGTAACAGATGCTCGTACAGTAGGTAGTTATGCATGCATTCTGAAATAACCTTCGCAACCTGCAATTTGAAAGAAGGGAAAGAGAAAGTAAAGCATGTTAAGTCAAACATTCCAGAATTCATCAACTTAATCAACATGCAAAAGTACTACCTCAGAAGATTGAATTCAATAAATCCAAAATGCCTCAATTTCTATGTCTGTCAAATAATAAACTAAACAAATTAATACCATCACAAGGATTGAATAACAATAGCAAATACCCATCGTGACACACTAAAATGTCAAAGAAAGTTCCTTCCTTTTCAGATGAAATGAAGTCATTGAAAGTCCGCCATGGCACCACCCTATGGTATGCATGTAAGGATTAATTTTGATGTCAAAAACAATCTAATCAAACAATTTATCAACGGTGTATGTATATTAAAATCAAATCAAATCTATATTTAATAAAACAATTTTTTTGCTGCTTCACATAATAGTAAGTTTAGAAAGAACTTACTGTCACACATCAAAATTTGTGATAGAATAAAAGCGTAGCCTTTGTTTAGGGTTTAGGGGGGCATCAAGATACCTTTGGTTCTAATAAATCATTTATTCATAAAATCATGTACTAAATAACTTTTCTTAAAAAATATTTTCGCTCGCCAATTCTGTGAATGGAACTAATGGAAAAAAAGATGTTGTAAAAAGATATTTTCGATCCAATAAAACCACGATAGATGGAAGGTCAGAAGCATAGAGTTCAACAACAACTATACTCTGGATCCTACAAAAAAAAAAAAAAAAATTCCAGATTCAACCAAAACCCAAATATCATATATGTATAGCAAAGTAAGGAAGGAAAGATATCTGGTTGATGTAATTAATCTGCAGCACTCTGCTTGTCCATCGTTCCCATTGCTTTTAATTCAGAAACAGCAGACTTGACACAATATGGCATCTCGTTCTTCTGCATTAACCAACCCATTGAACGGGGTGAAGAAGAATCCTCAGAACTACCGTTCTCATCATTCCTAGTAATTTCAGAAGCCAGAAAATCAGAACTTGAACTATTCTCTCTGATCTCCTCTTCATTCAGATCCAAAAAGGCACCAATTTTACTCCTATTCTCACTAAACTCAACATTTCCCTCTTCTACTATTTCACTAAGCATTACCAAACCCTCCATTGTAGCCTCAAAATAATTGGGGAGAAGCACAATACACAGAGTTATTCACTACCATACCATCAAAATGAAGTCCAAATTAGGTTTGACATCAAAATAACAAATTGTGGGTAATTAGGTGATTAGATTTTAAAGTTGGTAATTAAAGTGAATTTATTTATGACGTAGCTTTTTTTCCCTCCGAATAGTACATTTATACTCAACAGGAAGGTTTAGTTTTGGTGCTTGATGTTGGTCCAACAATGCACACTGTGCTGCCAAAAGTTGAAAAAATCTGCTCAATGTTAGTGCAAAAGAAGGTCTGTTATTATTTTTAATTTGGATTTCATTTTGCCACCAACTTCTCCGTTTAATGTACCGTGGGCTTCGACATTGTAATATTTATAATCATAAAAGCAACTTATTGAATGTTAATTGAATCACATAATATATGTGCGAATGTAAATAAGAAATCTGCATAATGATGCTTTTTATTTGTTTAGCCATTATGATGANTAAACAAAGTGTGCTCTGCATCAGTAGTAGTCCAAGTGCCTCACACACATAGCCTAAACTGAGTCATAATCCCAAATCAAATTCTAAAATCAATTACCACAGCCTCCTCTCTCCTCCACCCCCACTAAAAAATATAAAATGAAGGGGAAAAAAAGAAAAAGAAAAATCTCAATTCCACGATTGGAACAGGTGCAATGGAATTATGGCACCCTAAAGGGAGATCAACATAATTAGGTTAAAGAATGTATACGAAGATAAATTAGAGTGAAATTCCCGGTGAGCCAAGTATCTACCAAATTCATACTCGAATAATTGTCACAAAAGCAGAGAACTAAAAATAGTAAGCATAGAAAAGATAAGACATGATAAACTACCAGGAGTTGCCAGCCTCTCCATCACTTTTTGCAAACGATCAGACCTTAAACATATCTGGCATCTCTGACCATTAAAGAAGCCATATGGGGACCTTGTATCTTGACCAAGTTGTAAAGCCTGCAGAAGAGAATATATATAGAAACAAAAATCAATTTCATTTAATAATGAGTTAATGATTAAAAGTACAAGTGTCACAAAACATATAAATAGAAAAAGAGAAATCACCTAAGGAGAATATAGTAAGCATAAAGGACAGGCTTAAAGAGCTCTATATTTAGTTTGTACTGAGCCTCAACCAGAGTATCGAGAGGAATAGCCATGCAAGATAAGAAAGGGATAAAGCTTATTTGAGTTCAATCAAGTCCACTACCTTCTTCAATCCTCCAATTTGGAATGGAAAAAAAATAAGCCAGGAGTAAGGTACCCCCTACACCTTTTCTTACCTTATCTCTTATATGTTTCTACCTCTTTGATTTTGCTTATACTTATTAGCTCAAATTACCCCACCCATACGTTCAACTGATTTGCTACCACCATCCTTCTTAGTAATTTCAGTTCATGACTTGTTATTCCATTTAGCTATGCATCAATTATACTATTTTATCTACATGGAGATATAAGTCAGATTAGTCCCATTTTACTATTTCTAATGTCTCATTCTCTTTGGAAGAAATGAGAGGTGAGCATATATAAAAGATCATAATTGGATATCCGAAGGAATATTCTCAAGTTCATAAATTCATTCACTAATTCTAGAGCTACCCAGGATTTGCATCTTAAATGCATATCATACAACATAACAAGCTTCTAAGCAAGTACCTGATGAACATTCAAGTCATCGAGAGGAATCTGTGCATACGCACTGTCTTTCACCAAATCAATGATATCACTGCCATGAAACAAAAATCATTTACTAATCTTTCATGAAAGTACAACCGAACTCAAATAAATAGCAATAAAATAAAATAGAATATATGTGTGCAGCTAGAAAAGACCAACCTTCCACAGTATATATCCAGCAAGGAATTACTGTCATCTACTATAGGTATGCAACTAACATCAGCTGCAGAACGAAAAGGGAGGTTGTCAGGAGATAAAAGAATTCAAAAGGTTGAATAACAAAAATCAGGAGTATTGATAAATGGTTTAAGAACTAATGAGTAATGGCAGAGAAATTTTGGCCAAGAAAGCAAATCTCATGGAAGAAAAATGATTGCACTTAATAAATAATAGCAAACAAAATTTAAGATGAAACACACAATAAAACAGAGAAAGATGAACAACGTAAGGTTCCGTATGCTTATTTTTTTCTAACAAAGCATGAAAAATAAGTACTCCTTCAGTTTCATGTTGAATTAATGTCTTCTCATTTATGGAAGTTCTGAAGTAATAACTACCTATCCAAAATGAACATATACTTTATAGATTCTACCTAACTCTTTAAAATAAAAGTCGAAAAGACTCCAAAACTGAATTCAATAAATGATCAAATACACGTAAGGTTAAGAGTACTCCATAGTTAACTATGGCTAGGAACTTACCAGATCCAATAATAGAAAAAATCACTCACCCAGTAACTCAGAAATCACAATGTGAGATATTTAACATATTATTTACTAAGAAGGGAAAGAAAAACAAGATCCAATTTTTGAATGAAAAATAGTATCCCAGAAATAAGAATTCATAAGAAAAAATTAGTCAAATTTGACAGGTGTATAATCGAAATCAAGAATCCAACAAAACACGATACCCATATGAAAATCAAACAAGTGAAAAAAATCCGATTAAAATTTGATGTTAAAAATCTGATATCAAAGGAGGTTTTGGTGCGGAGATCAACGAAGAACATCGATTCATAGTAAAAATCTATATTCACTTACCAAAAAATCTTTTTTCAATAATTCTTTCGACCGATCTACGATGAAAACTTCAAAATCTGCAAAACAAACACAAAAATAGAGGATTAGAACTTCTGGGTTGGTGAACACCGAAAAGATTTTGAAAAAATTACACAACATATAGACAAACTCGTGGGAAAGAGAAATAGAAGAGGGGAGAAGAGGGGAGAAATCTTGCAGAACGACTGACACTGGAGAATGAAGTATGGGACGTTGCGTGTTCAAGAAATGGGGAAGAGAAGGAAAATAAATGATTAAAAGAATACACGTGGAAAAAATGAAGGGAAAGAAAGGCCAACAAAACGCGTTTTCTATTTTAGTGGGTGATGATGTCACCATGACACGCCTATGACGCGATATGAACAGTAACAGAACTCTTCTCTTTTATATATTGTAAAAGGATATATGTGCCTATGTGGATAGTGATTTAATTCAAATAATATATAAATTCGAATGGTGATCGAGGAAAGGGACTAGAATATTTCGGATTCTTGATATTTACAAGAGTAAGTCAACTCCATATAGGAAGAGGCCAACACAACACTTTGATGGACGGTTTACATCCATGTGACCATTATAAACTAAAAAGACATGTAGTCATTATGGATTTTACTATTTGATGAGTAACATAAGAGTAAATATCTAGTACTTGTTGGTGGATAAAATCAGTGAGCATAGTCCAATCTTGAAAATTATTTTACAAAAAATACTCATCAAATCTTCAACTTTCCTAAATATAAGTAGTGTTATGGATCCATGTCGATAGATGGGCAGAAACAAGATTTTGGTCTCATTCAAAACATTAAATTAACATAAATGAACCAACCATCAACAGATCCAAAATCATATATGAAAGCTAAAAATGTCAAACTTGTTAAAAGAGTATCGAGTAGGCTAAGTGATATAGCATTCATGGTTGAAATATACAATCCAACTAATCTACATTCTTCCAGTTCAGCTATTCACGTGTTCCAGCAGAGAAATTCCTCCTTCCAGCCTCTTCTTCCTTATTCCAGATTCTTCTAGTTTCTTCTTTNTTCTTCCTTATTCCAGATTCTTCTAGTTTCTTCTCTAGTTTGTTATTAGTTGTAAGTTTGTTAGATAATTTGTTATCTTCTTCCCTGCTGTTATAGCAGGCTTCCATTTTCTTACCTGTAGTAAATTTCATTTACTTCATGTTTTCTAATATGGTATCAGAGCATATTGATTGTTCAAAGTTCTGATCTCTATTCCGAGCAGAACTCCTACTATTTTTTTTTACATAGAGATTAAGGCTGGCAGATTATTTTCAGCCTTCAAAATGCTCCTGGCTTCTTCTCGCAACTAACAACACAAGAGGCATTGTCCACATATTCAGTCTCTTCCATTTTTAGCCATTAAAGCTCTAATATAAATCAAAATCAAACACCATTTCAAAACTCAAGCTCAAATCCAAATCAAAATCTACCAAATCAGTTTTTTCTCGGATTTCCTTCAAGGTGTTCAACAAAAGTTCCCATTGGCAATCTACAAAACCAGATCAATTCTTCCTTATCAATGAGTTATTTCGCCATTGATGATGGATCCAAATCATTTCCTGCCTCATGGAGCAGATCAATTACCAGAAGAGATGTACTTCATCTTCATCAAATTTATTTATTTATTTTTTTCATGAACTGCACTAAAAATAGCAGGTTTCCAATCTCTTATTCCTGAATGCTAAGCCTATCATAGTACTTTGGTGCCTTCACTTTTACATCTATGCTCCTTATATAAGAAAAAAGAAATTTATCATCTAGTTGATGATGATCACCAGAAACAAAAGAATGCACTATGTTTCTTTCTTCAATCCAGGATGGTGTCTTTTTCCAGACCTTTTCATTTTTCAAAAACTCCTGGGAAATCCCACTTAACTCAAGTAGCTGTAAAACCACCCTCTGAATTAAGGCATTTTCTAGTTCCAAGTCAAGCAACTGCTCCCAAGCATAGACTGCCAGTTTAACATTTCCATGGGTACAACATGCAGTTAGTAAGGCAGATCAGATAGAGACATCAAGCTCCATGGCCATATCTTCAATGAACTTAGATGCTTCAGCAGGCATCTCAGAACAACAAAGGAAATTTACCATGGTTGCATAATGATCTAGACAAGGTTTCCAATTTTCTTTTCTATTTGCATAAAGAGAAAATCATGTCCGATATTGCTTCGTTTGAATTAAGTGGTGATGCATTTGAAGAAATTGGCTCTACTTCATTCTATGGGGTGAGTCATCCCCCTGAACCTATTGATATGGACCTGATAAGACCAGTCTACAAACCAATTGAACAGAGCAAGAGTGATGGAAACTGTTTGGTCAAAAGACTTTCACGGAAGGGTCCTTTCATGGAAGATCTTTCTGTCCAAGTTCCAAGTATCAAACCGAGCCCCTCATTACTTTCATCTATGGAGAGCTTAGTTGAAGAGCCTAACGATTTAGGGCCTGTCTCCTGTCCATTTTTTGGTTCCCAGTCCAGAAAATACAGATTCAAGTCTTGCAGATTCTGAGGAAAAAGAATGGATATGGAATTTAAGATTTTTAGCTTCTTTAAGATGTTATCGTTAGTTCTTCCTGTAAACGTAAAAGACCTCGACTGCAAATTCAACAAGATTTCCAGTCTCAACAGCAACTTGTTCAGCTTGTCCTGCATCAGCTTCAGCCCTTGCAGCTCACCAGATTCAGATTTTTCCTTTCTTTT